GAAAAGTGGTAAATATCAATTTCTTTAATTATCAATTCATGCTTTTCAACTCAGCCAGATCTTACCCCACAGGCAGAGAAGATTTATTGCACTTGTTCCATAAAGGTATTGTCTCTTCTTCATACTATGACTCTGATTAGGCTCAGCTGCTTTAAATTGCATGCCTGTAAGAACACACCTGGTAGGTATTAGCAGAGAGATGTTTACCAGTGCCCTGCAGCCTTGAGGGAGGCTGGGGAGTGCTGAAAAAAGATTCTGAACACACTTCCACGGTATCTTAGGCACCATCTTTTAAAACCTGGCACTAAGATGCTTTGACTTTTTCAGCTATTGAGTATGACAGGGATTATGGTTTTGAGGAAAATTTAAAAAAAAAAGACCTTTCCCTTAGTAAGAAACAACTAAGAAATATATTTTTCATTCTTCAGCGTAGTGCAGGTGCACAAACCTGAATCAATCATGATTTGATTAGCATAGTATCAAAGCAGGGAGGCTTACAGAAAACATTTGCAGTGATGTGAGTACTTTGGATCCAAATTATCCTGAAATTTAATACCATGACTTTAAATTTTAAAATATTGCTTAATGAGTGTCATTCTTAATAAAATAAGCATGCCTGAAAATGTCTACAAAAGTGGGTCTGTGATTATCCAATTCAGTTCAATTCAACAAGTATTTATTAAGATGCCGTACTAGGTTCTAGGGATTCAAATAAGAAAGAGAATCACTCCTTGCCTTCAAGGAGTTTCCACTGTATCAAGTAGAAGCAACATGTGCACAAATAAATAAATTCAAATTGTTTGCAGAATAATTTCAGGGGGAGGAAGGCCCTAGCAACTGTGAGGGCATCAGAAAAGGTCTTATGTAGAAGATCGTATTTGGCTAATATTTGAAAGGAGCTAGTAAATAAGTAACAAGTGACCAGAGTACAGGGGAAGGGGATGATGATGCCCAAAACCAGAACGTGAGTCGTGTAAAGACAGGGGGTCTGGGAAAGGGCATGTCCAGGTAGGCCAGTTAGGCTACAATGTAGAGTACATACACAGAAATAATACAAAATCAGCCAACTTATGTGAATCATGAGATGCACTGTGGTGTTATTATGGGAAAATATGTACCATGGATATTGACAAAAGACATTTATATTGCAAACAACCAGTTGAAAAGTGGGGGGGGGGAATGAGTAAATCCATTGATATCAAATATCATATATCAGTATTGATGAACACTCCTGTGCCACTCATAACCAAGCAGTGATGCTTTTTTTATTTTTCAGCTGTTTTTATAATTGTGACTTTTTCTGTAGTATCATGTTTAATGCGTGAGTTTATATTTTATTGATGTTCAGCTACTTAATTACAGCATCATTTCTTAGTTCTGTAAGGATAAGCAAATGTGGAATGTAATCCAATAACAGTTTTCAAGCCTAATTTATATAAGCTTTGTTTTTTAAAAGTAGGGTACTTAGAAATATATCTACAAAAGGAGATTTGGGGCATTTTTGCTGTTACATTAAGAAGTCTCAGCATAAGCTTCTATAATTATCCCTAAATTAGCACAGAACTACCTATTTGGGGTATTTCTCTAAAATAAAGGGTAACTTTCTTAACTTTCAAGATTTGTTATTCCACCTCCTTTTTATTTAGGAGCAAAATTGATTTGCATTATTGTTCTAAATGTGGATCATGTCTCTAAAATAAAATTTCCTTGAAAAAAAGTCAAATAAGCACTTGCATATATATAGAAAAAATAACAATGGTTATAGATCACACTTGAATATTATACAGACTGGATTTGGGGGTGGGGGTAGAGAAGGAAGTGCAGACTATATTGGGATCAATATGGTAGATACTTTTTTCCTGACTCATGTCAAAAGATACAGCATCCTCTTGCCACTTGGGAAGAGTCCAGCCTTATAAAGTATCTGCTAACTTAGGCTGAAAGTCCGTTTATGCTGAGTGGTGAAAGAATATAAATTTAACTAACTATACATTGCCAAGGACTATGGTATATGTCTTGTGGGCTTATACCAAAACCTTTTTCTTAAATGATCTATAAATTCCATGTCCATATTATAACATGAGAAGCAGTACAGCCATGTTGGATAATCAGAAAGACTTGGGTTTAAGTTCTGCCTTCAGTAAAGACCAACTGTGTAAAACTATGGGTTAGTCACAAATAACCTCCAAGAGCCTCAGCCAACATGCAGAAATTCTGATTTACAGGCTGGTAGGTAATCTGCATTGGTGGATTGAGTTTTGAGACCAGGAGTTCCCCATCAATGAAATCACAGGTCTGGATTCCCACCCCTCATCCCAGTCTACCCCCCCCCAAAAAAAAACACTGTGACATAGAAAATGATTTAAGAAGGCACAGGGTTAAGGCTATTCATTGGTGTATTAGTATATGAAAGAATATTTCAACAACATCTGGATCAGATATATTTGGGTTTAACACCTTGGTGTAACAAATAAATTGACTTATAAAATTTCAGTCCTCGTATCTTCCCTCTTCATTTTGTATCTGGGTGTTCCATATGGAGAGAGAAAGCCTCAAAATAAGGGTGGAATTCCTTAGGTCAGTTCATTGAACCTGCTAGTCAGACCAGTTGCTTGGCTTCATGGTCACCAAACAACGAGCAGATGAACTGAATTCCTCATGTTTCAGCTGGGTTAGCTTCACAGTCAATGTCTCAGGGCTTACTCTACAGAGGTCTTGATATCTGTTTTTACAGAAATGAAAACATTTCTCACTGTGTGCATTATTTTGATTAACTCTCTGAGTTAAATGTCTCAAGTGTAATTAGAAAATGGATTCAGCTCACTGTGAAAGTGGATGGTTTAAGAAGGAAAAAAAATCAAATGTATTTTTCTTCTGCTCTTCTTTCTCCCACACGAGACAAACGAGGAAGACAGAGGAGGTTGTGTTTTCTCCCCCTGTGGTTGTGAGCATCTGGTTAATTGCTTTTTCTGTCATGACAAGTCAGTGTTGGAGCTAGAAGTAGGACCTGTAAATTCTTCCTTTGTCCCCAGAGCACTGCTTCTGAGCCCTGAAATGAGAGGAATTACAGTATCTCAAGAGCTGACGATCACAGCCAGCATTTATAGTATACTTTAAAGTACTTGCAAACCACTGTAAATGTTAACTCATTTGATCCTTACAACAATTCTGAGAGGAAGACTGCTATTATTATTCCCATTTTACAGTTGAAGAAACTAAAGCAAACAGAGTTTAAGTAAGTGACTTTCCCAAAGGTCACACAGCTATTAAATGTCTGTAGTTGGATTTGAATTCACATCTTGATTCCAAGTCAAATGCTGTCTGTCTCTCCAGAAAGAAAGAGAAACAACATAAATGTATAAATCCTGTTCTACTTAATTACAACTTGAGAAAAACTAAAAAACATATGTACTCTTCCAAGAATTGCTACGTAGGCAATTCTATACTGATGGCAAATTATAAAGTATATACATAATAGAGGCCAAGAAAGTCAACAGAACAAGTGGTGTCATGCTTACTCAAGAAGACTTGTGTCTTTGTCCTAGTTTTGCCACTAATTAGCCTTTGGTCCCTTATCTATAAAAGGAGAGTGTTGAAGTACAATATCTCTAATCCAGCTCTAAATTTCCTTGGCAATGCATGGTTAGTTAAATTTTTATTCTTTTACCACTCATCATAAACATGTGTATTTGTATTCATGATATGTCTTTGCAGAAAGCATCTGTTACCAAGTGGTAGAAGCACGTACTACTCTGTGTGCCTTGAAGGTGGGCCACTCCAAGGAGGGACCCAGAGCAGGTAGCTAGCTGCTCACAAGTGGAGGAAGTAAGCCTGCCATGTGGTTTGCATTAGGGAAGAGGAATTTTGTGAGTGAGTGAGTGACTCCAAAAGGGAATTCCCAAAAAGAAAAGTCTCTGAGTAGGTGGGAGGAAGATGAGCTCCCATGTCTGTAGAGGTGTGTGTAAGGCCTTCTTCCTTTTGGTTCTGGGGTTTCAGGCTTTTCTTAGGTTTTAGGGGATTTTGGTGTATGATCAAACCTAGTGTGTGCATTTATTGTTCCAGGATAACTTGGGAGTTTTGTCTTAACAGAACAGAACTTAAAAGTGTAAGTGGGATGAGGAAGGGCTGAACAAATTTTGTAACATGAATATAATGGAATATGACTGCGCCATAAGAAACAACAGACATCAAGAATTCAGAGAAACCTAAAACACAAACCAGGAAAACAACATATACAATTATTGTAGCAAAGTAAAGGGAAAGAATAATAAAATGAAACTGAATGCTATGGAATTACAGTTAACAAACTTGGCCCTAGGAAAAAGGGTGGAGGACCATGGGTAGAGAATATTGTATATGATGTAAGATGCAATCATTGTCTTACTTGGTTTTGTTGAACTTTTTTTTTCTATAGTCTTCATTCCATTGTTTGGAAGGGCATAGAGAATTCTGTTGGAAATTAATCATGAAAACAAAACACATGAATTTTTTAAAAACTTGGCCTCATAAAGTTGTTTAACTGAGTGACCTTTTTTTTTCCAACACCCCACACATACTTCAGTATTTCCATGGTTTATCAGTGGCATCAGTTTTTATTTCTCCTGCCAAAAGTGGGCATGGCAATAGCTGCTCTTGCCCAGGAGGGAAAAGGAATCTGAATAGGGCATTTCAGTGACTCGGAGAACCTCGGTGATGAAGAAGTTAGTAGCTACCTTCTCAAGGTGTTCATTTCTTTCGTGTGTAGGTCTGGCATCGAGCTAAGGAAGGCTCAGCCATGAAGCCTGATACTGGGGTTGTTGAAGCTGCCGACAGCAGCTCTGAGCTTTTAAGGAAAGAAAGTCTAATGGCCTTGGTCAGATCATTCTTTTTGGGTAGGTTCTGGTGCCACAGGACCTCAAGGATTTCTGGGAGGAAGATTTAACAGGAAACAACAATTTTCTGGAAGGATCCTGGGCCTAAGGCATGTAACAAGTTTGATGAAGGAAATTATAGCCTGCACCTTTGAAGCAACAACATTTTATTCATTCTTTTAGCTATTACATTTTAAAATTTGCCTTCAGATCCTTTCAGCAGAACCATACACACACTTAATTAGGTCATCTCTCAGAACTTAGATGAGCCAGCTTCTGCCACATATATATTTATTTGTGACTGTGTTTAATTTCTGAAAGTTTGTGTATTCCTAATTCAGCCCACAACATCCTAGAATTACAGTAGTGGGGTCTTTTTTTATATTTTTTTTTATATTTTTTAATGCTCTTTTAATTTTTCATTGCTGTCATTCAGTAGTGTGCTTTTCTAATTTTATTTTACATGGAGTCTGAATGTGATTTGCTTTCAAAAAATCATTAAACTAAGGTTGCTCTCCTGCTTTCCTTGGACCACTATACTTTGAGGATGGTGGGAATTGGCTCCAGGTTCAATAGAACAAAAACCTCTGTAGGTCTTGGATCATTTGTACAAGAAGTTCTTATTCTTCTGTTATGCTGTTCAAACTAAGTAAACAAACTCATTGCTCCACTTCAAAAACAGAATGTGTGCCTGGAGGAGACAAGAGCATATTAGAGGAGTCAGCTGGCTACAGTTTTCAGTTACTTCAGGAAGATCACTTTGACATGTGTGTGGAGAATGAGCTGGAATGAGGACACAGTTGAGGCAGGGAGTTGCAGCGGTCCAAGCATGAGGTGTTGAGGGCCTGCACAAGCATGGTGACAGTGCAAGGAGAGAGAAAAGGACAACTACAAGAGATATTACAAAGGTAGAAATGATAGGACTTGGCATCTGATTGAATGTAGGGGTGAGAGAGAGTAGGGGTTGAAAATAAGACACCTAGCTTGCAGGCCTGGGTGAGGGAAAGCATGGTGGCGCCCTCTGCAGTAATGGAAAAGTGGGGAAGAGGGAAGGGTTGGGGCAGGGGAAAGATGATGAGTTCAGTTTTGGACATTTCGTGGTTCCAGATGACCAGTAGAAATCCACATACACCCCCACTTACATACACACAGGTACACATGGATACATCTTCTTGAAGAAACATTAGCTCAGTATTATTTTCCAACAAGACATTTCCAGAAAGTCTCCTCTGTCTGTGTATTCTGACTTCCCTTTAAAGTTAGTTAGAGTTTAAACAATAAAAAGCAAAATTGCGAGTGAGAAAAACTTGGTCCAGGGTTTATACAGGATTCATATTTTGTGTATCGGCAACTAAAATGAAATGGAGAGCAAGAGTTTTCTGTATCACATCGGCTTGCTCTGTAAGATAGCTACAATCCTTTGGGGTTTTCAGCGTCTTCAGGATTCGTTCTTCTCCATAGCAGATTATTTTTCCAAATTCACTCTCATAATTACACTTTTTCTCCACTACACATTATCTGGATGGACGGAGCTAAAGACCCTCAAATGAAACCTATGCCATGAAAACAAATGGAACAGAAAACAATGGTCAGAATGTGGTTTTCCTTTCACTGGTTATCAGCAATAACAAAAATGAAGGCTCTAGTTATATGAGATCTATACCTAGGTATTATTTGTGCCTTTTTTTCAACAAATTCCTCTAAAATATTTCATAAATTGCATTGAAATTTACAGTTAGTGAGATTACTAGTTTGTACACTGCAATTTTAGCTTTTCTTCCTCAAGAACTTTCTCAAGTTTTTTCAAGTGACAAAAAATAACTTTCATGCTTGCTTGCTTTCTTGGTTCCAAGTGACTGAATTTTGCACAAAGGATCTGGGGCAAGTAGGAAAGTGTGGTATGATAAAAAGAGCCGTGCACTCAGACCCAGGAGAAGTGGACGTACATCCTGACTCTGCTAATTACCAGCCACTTAAGCCTCTCTGGACCTCAGTTTCCTCATTTACAAAACGGGGATAATATCTACCTCACAAGAGTCTTGTAATATATATTTTTATGTACAGGAGAAAGTAATATATGTTTATAATCATAAGTTAACTTGATTAAGTTATTAACTATGATTAAGTTATAACTTAAATCATAATCATAAGCAAATGAGTTGTTCTTGTGGCAGCTACTTGCTGATCTTGGAAAGTTGTAATCTTTCAGCTTGGTGGATTTTCCTCATTAATGTGAATAAATCAAGATGATGATGATGATGATTTCTTTAGCCCAGGGGTGGGGAACCTGCAGCCTCGAGGCTACATGTGGCCCTCTAGGTCCTCAAGTGAAGCTCTTTGACTAAATCCAAACTTCACAGAACAAATCCCCTTAATAAAAGGATTTGTTCTGCAAAACTTGGACTCAGTCAAAAGGCTGCAGCCCATTAAGGTTTACAAAGCATTTTATAAATATTATTTCATTATATCTTCACAACAACTGGTTAAGGTATATGCTATTATGCTCCTCATCTTATAGATAAGTAAACAGATTGATATGTTAAGTGATCTGGCCAGGGTTGAAGTCAGTGAGTGTCTGAGGCAAAATTTAAACTCGGGTCTTCTTAATCCCAAGTCCAGCACCCTTATCCACTACATCATCTATCTGCTTCACGATAACATATTTGGCATGATTATATCATTTAAAAGGTGTCCTTCGGGATGTTTATAATAGGAAATATTTAATGAATAGTGAAAATGTTTAGAGGCCTGGAGCTTCCTGAGAGGTCAGTCCTCGCTTCTAGAAATTATAAATCTTCTTGATGAAATGGAAATTATTCCTATGTAATCAAGATATCATAAAATTAGCCCTATAAGAGAACAATGAACATATCGCTAAGGTTTGGTTTTGTTTCCTAGGTGGCTTTACATGCTTGTGGAGTGGCCACAGACATGGTAATTGAACATTGTACCAAGGCTCAGGCTGCCTTTGTTACATGCCCTTGCTGTTATGGTTTCATTCAAAACACCCTGAAGTTTACATTTCCACGAAGGTAAGTTTGGGAATCCAAGGTCAAATAAGAAAGCCTGGGGCATATTTACTTCTTTATTTATATTTTATTTATTTTTTGTTAATTTATTTTTAAAAAGCTGTCTCTCGAATTGAGGAATGGGGACTTAGTTTGCTGGAAATCATTCCTATTTAAATTTAGAACCAAAAAATAATTGGCAGCCAGTTATTAATTCACCATCCTTGTCCCGCCTTTAAAAAAAAGAAAAGTACCTGCACAGTGGAATTTGAAGCAGTTCTTTTATTGTTATTTCATTTGTATTGTTCTTGCCTGAAAAGGAATAATTGAAAAGGCTTAGATGTATATACCTCAAACCAAGAGCTAATATTATTTGTAAACAGATAGACATCAGAAGCTTTCCCAGTATGGTCAAGGGTAAAATGAAGGCCTACTGTCTCTATAGTATTTGACCTAGAACTAGCTAGAAATGCTAAATACTAGCTGTAAGAATAAAACAAGATAAACTCATTGAAGAAATAAGGGCTGGCGAAGAAGAACAAAATTATTCCTATTTAAAGATAATGAGGCTGCTGTCCAGCTCCCATTAGGGAGGTGACAACTTCAGGGTGCAGATTTAAACAAATATTTCCTGAATGTGACTGGTGCCAAAATTTGTTTTGCTTCACTATGCGTACATGTTGAAAGTATTTTGTTTTTATGTTGGTTTTTCCCCCAGTGGGAAGTATAGGAGAAAGTGGAAGGAAGAGAAAGTTGATTTTATTCATTGAGAAAAATTAAATTAAAAGATGATGTGAGGATTAATTTAGGGAACATTAGAGAGACAATGAAAACTTAAGATAATAATTTCAGTAAAATAGCAGGATACAAAATATGACCCCCCCCAAACCATCAATTTTGGTAGAATAGCAGGGTAAAAATACAACCCCAAAACTGTTCTTTATAACACTATTAAAACCCAGAGGAATAGATAGGAGGAAGAATTCCATTTAAGATGCATTCTGTTTGGTTATTTACTTGCCAAGGCACTCAGCAGGACCAGTTCAATAATTGGAGTATTCATTGTTCACAGTTAGGCTGTACCAACATAATCAGTATTATAATACTACTAAAACTACAATACAGATTTAATGCTATACCAGAAAAATTGCTAAAAGGATACTTTCCAGAATTAAAGAAAATAATAATAAAATTCACTCAAATTACCAAAAGGTCAAGAGCATCAATGGGGGAAAAAGTGGAAAGAAGAGACAGTTGGCACTGTCAGATTTCAAACCAAACTACAAGGTTGTAATTATTATCTGATACTAGTTTTTAAGAAAAAAAACTCTCCATTTCATCAATGGAGTAGACTAGAACATCTAGAAACAGATATTCCCAGCAGACTGAAAACAGCAACACCAAGCATCTTAAGATATTTTGTCACAAATTCTAAATGGATATAAATTCCCACCACCAAAAAAAAAAAAGTACAGAATGGAAAGTGATATGACCAGGCAAAGGAGGAGATCTTTTTCTTTTTTCTTTATTTTGTTTTTAGTCCTGACCTGATTTAATCAGTGTAAAGAATTATAATGTGGAAACTTCCTTTCCTGATTGAAGATTGATTGGCAGTTTGTCTGTAACTTAAAGCTTCTAGTCAGAATCGTGGATGATTTCCAGCCTGAGCATTTCTGCATCTCTGAGGGAGACACAGAAAAATGATTCAGTGGGTCCTTAGGTTAAGGCTCAAGTGACCTTTCAAGATACCTGGAAAAATGCCAGGACCCATTCATGACACCCTCAACTCCAAAGAGCCAGTTTGTTAAGTACTTGGATCCCAAACTGAGAAGAGAGGAACTCTCCCTACTTCATCTCCTCCCACCCAACCTTAACCCCAGCACGCACACACACACACACACACACACACACACACACACACACACGCGCGCGCACCTCCCCCCCCCCAAGGAATGAAGGAGAAAACCTAGTTTGAAATCCTGCCTCTGACACTCTGATAGGCCACCTGTGTGACCCTTGGAAAAGCACTTTAGTTTGCTTATCAGCCAAAGGGGCACATTAATACACGGTCTTCTCCACAGGTCTTTCAAAAAGAAAATGCTTTGTAACCTTACATCACAAAATAAATTTGATCTATAATTTTTTATACCAAAATGTGACAGTTTGTTAAATTCTGTTCTGTGATTCAGCAAACTAAAATCAGCCACAAAAGTAGTGACATGTGACATTTTCTTAAAAAATCTTAAAGGGAAACTAGAGGTCATCTGATCCATTCCTCTCATTTGACAGATGACTAAACTGAGGCCTAAATACATCAAGTTAATTGCTCAAATAGTAACTAGTAGAAGTAGTAGCAGCAGCAGCAATTGCTAACATTTATATAGCACCTACCATGTGCCAGGCACTACCCTAAGCACTTCACAATGATTATCTCATTTGACCCTCACAACAATCCTGGGAAGTAGGTGGTGTTATAGCTCCGTTTTACAGTTGAGGAGGTTAAGTGACTTGCCCTGCGTCACACAGCTATCAGATGTCTGAGGTGAGTGTGTGACCCTGGGCAAGTCACTTAGTCCTGTTTGCCTCAGTTTCCTCATATGTAAAATGATCTAGAGAAGAAAAGGGCAAACCACTCCAGTATCTTGGCCAAGAAAACCCCAAATGACCGAACAGCAACAGAACTTCCTGAATCCAAGCCCAGTGCTCTATTTACAATGCCGGCCAGCTGTGTGATTGCATACTGATAGTAAGCAGTGCCAGGATCAAACCCAGGGCCTTTGACAGCAAGTGTAACATGTTTTTCACTGAACTTCGTGTAATCCTTATAAGTCAGTAAGTCATAAAATGGCTTTTTTCTCTTCATCCCTCGTGTTTGATCTGTAGCCACACATCTCAACAAGTAGAAAGAGAATTAAAGACCGAGAAGTAGAATCCTATTTCAATGATATGAGTACTTACTGTTTCGTTTTCTCTTAAATACTGTGCATAATTATAAATGCATGCATATTTAAAGCTTCTCAGGAAATTTATAACCACCTCATGAATTTATACATACACAAGAATGACTATCTGTGTTCTCTAGTTATCAGTAAATTTGTAAGTTAAAGGTAGTACTCAGCAGAGCTTCCTGAAAATTGTCACTAAAATTTCTTCTTCTATTCCCTTGGGGTGTTTTGGGAAAACTTAGTTTCAACCCAAACAAAAGATTCTCATCATTTTCAGGAGAATCATGCTGAAGGTCACATCAGCTCAGAAATGCACAAGTAAATACTGTTGCATACCTAGAACAAGTAGGGAGAAGCCCTCAATTTCACACCGAAAGTACCAGGTGAGTTGAGATAGCAAGAGGATTAGTGCCTCTGGGTATTACCTCTGCCTGAATTACTGGCCTGTAGCTATGACTTCTTGGACTGGCGCATAGTGAAAATTTAAAACCATTTTAAAAATTGTAGTTCTTTTAAAAAAATGTAAATGCCTACGAAAAAGGTAAAACAAAGACAACCCACAAAAGAAATACATTAAAATAAATTAGATACTTAGCATGCTATACCTTACCCATGTTAGAGAAGAAGATTCTAACAGTTAGATTTACTCATGTAAACTGTTCAGATAAGTCAGTTATTTCTTTGGAATTTAGTCATTGAAAACTGTTTCTTAATTAGCATTTTCTGTTATAAAGTAATGACTGATTACTTTTTCTGTTTCAGTGAACCATTCAAGGAAGTTTTATCCTACAAGGTAATACATAATCCAGGAAGGTGTCATATTTTCTTTGTATAAGCTTCTTTAAGTTCTCCCCTATCACGTTTGTAGTGGAGTGAATAATTTGCTTTTTGGTTTTAATTACGAATAGTTCAATGTGTCAGTGTTTTTAAAGTTATTAAAATGCAGAATGTTGGACTGTTACATGGCAATTCTGAATCGTGGCAGTCTGATCCAGATTGCAGCTAACAAATGTGTTGGTGTGGCAGTGACACTCAGTGCTGTCAGAGACAGTAAATTGCTGTTCTTTAGGCGTTCCTTCTTCCATCTTCTTGTCTTTCCCTCATTCCTGAAAGGCCCAGACTCGCCACCTTCACCTCTTAGAAATCCAAGTTCCTTTCCAAACTCAGCCCAGGTAGCACCCCCCTCTCCCCCATCGCTTTTTATTTATCTTGTGTTTATTTTATATGCATTTGTACACATACAGATTGTTTCCACCAAGGGAATTCAAGTTCCTCAAGGACAATGACTGTTTCCCTTTTGTCTTTGTGTTTCAGGCACAGTCTGTGGCACATAGTAGGTACTTAACAGATGCTTACTGATTGATGGATAGAGCATAAGCTTACTTTGCCATCATCACTCTTTATTAATGTCTTCTGTGATGTAATTTATATCTTATTTATCTAATTATTGGATTTATGATACATTCAAATAGATTGGCATCATAATGTGGTGAAGAAATCCCCTTTTTCTAAAAACAATTTCTTGTGATCCTTTGAGATTTTCCTTTATTAATTTTGCTGCAAAATTATAATTAAAATGGGAGGTTAGTCTAGTTTAGTGGTGTCAAACTCAGGTAGAAATGGATTGGATCCCTGTAGGCTGCAGAATGCCTTAGAAAACCACATGTTAACATGTGTTCTGTTGTATTTTTATTTATTTTGTTAAATGTTTCCAAATTACATTTTGATCTGGTTTAGGCCCTACTTGGGGGTGTTGTGGACACATGTGGCCAAGTGCTTGACACCTCTGGGCTAGGTGACTTCAGAGATCCCTTCCAGTGTTAGGTCTCTTATGTTATGCATATAGATTTAAAACTGACAGTCTCATTTTAAATAGAAACTTTTAGCGTTTATTGTGTCTTAACACTTTGTGATTTGAGTTTAGCATTGGAACCTGAATCTGTCCTACAGGGCGTTAACTATCCCTCCTATCTTTGTGTCTTTAAGAACCTTTGATTTGTCATCCAAGTCACTGGTCAAAACTTTGAACAGGACAGGTCTCTCATGTACTTCACTAGACAACTCCCTCCAAGTCAATATTGATCCATTAAAGTCAGTCAGTCAGTAAGCATTTATGAAGTATCTCATGTTTGCCATAAAATGTGTTATGCTCTAGGGATACAAAGAGAGGTCATCTGAAGTTCTGAAGGAGCTCACTGGCCTTTGGGGAGACAACTTGAAAATAGCCATTCAAACATGTACAGAATAAATTGGAGATAATCAGCTGAGAGAAGGGATGAGCAGAGAGGGAGATTGAAACAGTCTTCTCATAGGCAGGATTTTTTCTGAGGCCTGGAGCAAACCAGGAGACAGAGATGAAGAGGGAGCACATTCTGGGCCTTTGGACTAGCACTGGATCTGCTCTCAGGATCACAACCCAGAATTTCCATGAATGACCACTAAAGGCAAAGTTACTTCAGTCACCTATCTGTGACCTTATTGATATGGGTGACCCTCCTGTGGTACAGATCATGTCTCCTCCCTTCTTACTTTTCCTTTGTGACTATACTATCTAGTATATCTAGTCCAGGGGTGGGGAACCTGAGACCTCAAGGCCACATGTGGCCCTCTAGGTCCTCATGTGTGGGCCTTTGGATTCCTGGACTTGAGGACCTAGAAGGTCACATGTGGCCTTGAGGTGTCAGGTTCCCTATCCCTGATAGTCAGTCTTTATCTTTCAATTAGTCTTCCACAAGATCTGTCCAAAGTGCTGGACACCGGCCTGCTTGCTGGTCAAGCAAAACATTTCATCTCCTGACTCCAGGCATTTTCACTGGCTGTCCAGACAGAAGTACTCAGTTATCACCCTGCTGTTCTCACATATCCCAACTGATGCCTGTATCACATGACCTTAATGATCTTAACCTCCTGAACTCTCCAGTTTAGCATGATTTTCCTAAAATACAGCATGCAAATGTGAATAATCAGTAATCCAGTGGTAGTCTGATGGAGTTAGAATTCCCTAGCCTTAGCCTTAAGACAGCCTAAGATTACAATAGTAGCTTTCTTAAGTGTCATATCATAACATAACATTGAACCACATTGAGCTCCCAGAACTTTTTTAGTAAAATTACTGTTTAACTACGTGTTCCCCATCTTGTATTTGTGAAGGTGATTTTTTTGAACCTGCATGTAAGACTTGATATTTAAGGCCTCAAGATTTTGTTTTTGTGAGGAGCATGGTTCAGCAACTCACTGCTCCCCTAGAAACATACCATGCGGAGTTCCCTCCTCCCTTAAGAAACAAAATTTAAACTGAAGTGAGCAAAGAGACATTTATTTATTTACAGTCCTTTTGAGAACCAGGCACACACACTGTACAGAAGCAGGGACAAGCTGTATACAGTTAGATCAGTCCTACGCCTCCCTCCAGAGTCAGGAGCGGTCCAGGCTTTTTCGAGTAACAATCTTCCTGGTACTCCCACTTCATAACATGTCCCTCCTCCTGCTAACATCTGAAATGTGCCTAGTTCTGTGCTATTGCTCCCCTCTGGGCAGAGAAGTTAGTATTAATGAGCCTATTACACATGTGTACTCTAAGTAGAGCTTAACCTTTGTCCTGCTTAGGGCCTCCCTAACCAAACAAGCAATTTGATCCACTTTTAGCTGATTCTAGAACCTCTGACCTTTTCTGTCAATTTCCTTATATGGAAACAATGGTTTCTTATCTCTCACAGTTTTAATCTTCAGTATATGAGCTATCCCTCCCAATTTTGTGTAATCTGTAAATCTGGTAAGCATAGCATCTGTGCTTTTATGCAAGTTGTTGATTTAAAAAAGTGAAGTACCATAGGTCCAAGCTTAGATTGTCTCCTAGAGACCAGAGACCCAGGCCTCCATCAATGGCTTACATCTTGCCATCTAACCAGTTTGAAATCTATCTAAATGAACGGTCATCTAGTTCAAAATTGTCTGAATTTTCTACATGACAGTAATGAAAGGTATTGTCATATTTTTCTGAGATCTCAAATTATTTATACAGAGAGAGAGAGAACATTCTGCTAATCCTTTTATCAGAAGAAATGCATTCTAGAAGTTGACTAGGAATGAAAGTCAGGCTCACTAGCCAGTAGCTTGAAAGTCTCTTCCCTGTTTGCCTGCCCTTCCCAGTTCTGAAGCATTTCTTTCATGCTTAGCAGACTTTCAGTGATCACTGCAGAGTTCAGTCGTGCCAGTCAGTTTTTTTGATATAGAGCAATAGATAGATAGATAAAGCACTTGCTAAGCACTTGTATCCTGAAATGTTAAGAACTAATGACTTGAACTCATTAAAGGAGCTAAGTATTCTCTTGCTTTCTCCTCACTAACCCTTAGTAATAACTCACTGTTAGTCATTTCTGTTTTGTCCCTTCCTTTCCAAAAACTAACTTCCCTGACAGAGGAAAAAAGTTCTGAACAGTTCTGACTTCCCTCTGCATCTGTTAATTAGCCTCCTATCCTTCCTGAATATGTAGCCCTTCTCTTGGAGCATTCTCTTTTCTCCACTTGGCTTTAAAAACAAATCTTTCAGACCTAATTTACTTGAACTCCTTCCTTATGACCATTTCTATAGTTCACTTTTATTTTTTAAGCACATGAAAATCAGGAGAAAAATCTTTTTTTTTAATTTAAGTTAACTGTATGTTCCCTGGCAATAATTAATAGTTGCCTTAGTTTCCTCGTTAATGAACAAAGTGCCTCAGAGGCCAAATGATGGATATTGACTCATCCTCAGTTCAACTGTTAGTTGGGAAGGTTTTGTTCCCTTAGAAAATGTCACTGTCCTACCTAAAACAGCTGTTACATAGCATTCATTTGTCCCTCTTCCTGTCTCTGCTGGCCCTGGCCACACATAAATTAAGAGTGCTGGGCAAAATGGTTAGGGCTTCTACTCCTTCAGCAACCAGAAGCCTCCTAAAATTATGTCATTGAGGGGAATCGCTCAGTTTTTTCACAGTAGAAAATAATTGCCAATCTTTCTATTAGATTCTTTTTTCTGTAAGATACAGAAACACTTAGATGAAGTTGTAGGGGACAAGAGAAAAATGAGAGTTAATTATAGATCTTCACTAAATTGGTGGGTGGGTGGAAGGAAGGGACAAAGCAACAGAGAATATAGCAGTGATTAAGCTGTCAGGTGGAGATCCCTGGGAACTGGAATAGCTAACACTGGATTATCCACCAGTTCTTCCTCTCCCCACTGTCACTGGGTAAAAATCCCTGGACGCCATTTGTAGGGGACTTTATTACTACTCTGTGGTCTAGTAGAAAGAGCTGGACTCGGAGGCCCGAGATTTGGGCCGGTAGGATCCCCCAGACGCTTAGGAGCCACGCCACGATGGGCAAGTCTTTTGAGCTCTCTGAGTCTTAGTTGATTTGATTACCAAAAGAAGATAATGAAACTTGCACTGCCTACCTTACTGTGCAGATAAAATGAGACGATGTATATAAATGTGCTTTGTACTGAAAGTGATATAAAATCTAAGTTATCATTACTGGCATTCAAAGAAAACATTTTCTTAAGGGGAAAAACCATTGCATCATAGCCCTCCTGGAACGTTGTGGCAGCTAAGGGCAGTTCTTGATTACTCAAGGCTTTCATCTGGTCTCAGATTCTGGCCGATTGCCACAGGTAAGAAGATTGGACTAGAAGATGATTTCTCATTAGC